GGTCAGTCCCGGTTTTTACATAATAGACTCCCTTTGCTGCTGCGAACTGCTGCGAATTTCCTCCTGTGAAGAATGAAACCGTTTGGTACCCGTGGCTAAATAGGCCTGTCAGTAGCGGGCTTGTCTGGGCGAGTAGTATTGCGTGGATCTGGGCAGTGGGGCGGGTCAGTGCGTCGGCGATGTTCGAGGCTCCCTTTTTGTAAGTGACCGTGTAGTGAAAGTTGGACTCGAGGAAATCGAGCCAGCGAATCTGTCGTGGGTTGAGGTGTGGCTGTGCGCGAAGGTACTGTAGTGATTTATGGTCTGTCCGTACTATCACGTCCGCGCCAGTCAAGTAACAGCGCCATACTTTGAACGCGTGCACGATCGCAAGCATTTCGCGGTCGTGTATCGTGTAATTTTTCTCGGGCGGATGCAGTTTTCGTGACTCGTATGCGATAGACTGTAGGCCATTGCCGAAATCCTGTAGCAGTACGGCTCCGATGGCGATATCGCTTGCGTCGGTAACTACTTCGAATGGGCGGTGTGGGTCGGCGATGCGCAGGACGGGCGGTGAACAGAGAACATTTTTCAGGGCAGAGAAGGCAGCATGCTCTTTCTCCCCCCACGTAAAAGCGACCCCCTTCCGCAGTAAATCCGTTAGTGGGGCAGTTAACCTTGCCATATCGGGGACGAACCGACGCACATAATTAATGAACCCTAAAAAGCTCTGCAGCTCCGTGATGTTCGTCGGGGGATGCCACGCTTTTACCGTATCCAGCTTCTTTGGGTCGATTTCAACTCCAGCCTCTGAAATAACGTGCCCCAAAAATTCTAACCTATCCTGGAAGAACTCGCACTTGGAACCCTTGGTCAGTAATCTGTGCTCGTCTAAAACCTTAAACACTGCTTCCAGATCTGCTAAGTGCTGCTGCTTATCCCGACTGTACACTAGGATGTCGTCGAGGTAAACTATTACACATTTATCTAAGAGCGGCCTAAATGCCTCGTTCATGGTCATTTGAAAAGTCGCCGGTGCGTTGGTCAGCCCGAATGGCATCACAGTGTACTCGAACGACCCGTACCTAGTCCTGAAAGTTGTTTTGGCGCAGTCCGATGGTTCGACCCTAATCTGATGGTAACCTCCCCGTAAATCTATTTTCGAATAAACCCGTGCTGTTCGCAGTTGGTCGATCAGTTCGTCGGCGCGGGGAATGGGGTACCGCGACTTGACTGTTACCCTGTTCAGTGCTCTGTAGTCAATACGCATGCGAAAACCCCCGTCTTTTTTCGGCGTGAATAGTATCGGTGCGGCGAACGGTGACGAGCTCGGTCTGATGAATTTTGTCTCTAACAGGTAATCTAACTGCTTCCTTAGTTCGTCGAGCTCGGGCTGTGTCAGTCTGAACTGGCGCTGTACGGTTGGCTGTGCCCCCGGTTCTAATTCGATTCGGTGGTCATGTGCTCGCTGAGGTGGCAGTCCTTCCGGTAAGTCGTCGGGGAAAATCCCGGGGTATCGTTTCAACAGTTCCTGTAATTCGGGCGGTACGGCTGCCAGCAGTTTCTTGAAATCACTCAGCTGCTCTGCTTCCTCTACTACTGCGATGTCTACTGCGTATACGTCAGCTCCAGCAGCGACAGCCCGTTTCATTGTGATGGCGTTGACGTGTACCGTTGAAGACTCGGGCGACTGCCAGCGAGGTAACTCGACCCAGTTACCACTACTTCGCACGGTGCGGCTACCCGTCATCCAGTCAATTCGCGGGTTATACCGTCGCAGCCAATCACGTCCCAGTAAAATATCGTGCCCATCCAGTGTCGTTGCGAGCATTTCCTGTGTAAACCCGAAATTTCCCCCGCAGCGGACTTTGACTCTCTCTACCTTTTCCCGTATGGCCAGTGGCGTGCCGTCGACTAAGCGTGCGTCTATCTCCGGTAAGCAACGGCTAAGTGTCAGCTGCAGTTTTCGTGCGGTTGCGGTATTAACTAAACTGTGGCTTGCTCCTCCGTCGATAAAAATCTTCACTGCTGCTCCCTGTATTTTCCCGTGGATCAGTACTGGGCAATCCGTCGCTGTACCCTCCTTATTCGTCCGAGTCCGATCGATAGCATGAACCGGTACTATGACTCGGTGAGGGTCGGTGGGGTTGGGCGAGCAGGCAGTCTCGTCAGTAGTTGGCCCGATTCCTACTGACTGCTGGCGTTTCCCTGCTTTGGAGACTCCCTCCCCTGCTCTGCTCCGCGGCGCCTTAGCTCCTCTGGGCATTCGCTCTTGCGATGGCCCGGCCTGTTGCAAGCAAAGCAGCGCCCCTTAAACGGCGCGGCAGCTGCATTCGTCGCAACAGCGTGTACAGTGGCGTGCTCGATCGGTCCCCGAGGACGATGTCCATAGCAGGACCCCGGTCTCGGACGGCGTAAAATGTCGATTTTCTCGGCGAGCGCGAGAATCTCGTTGAAGTTCGAGAGCCCGCGTAGCATGATTTCGTGCGAGATGTCCGGCTTCAGCCCTCCGACGTAACGGTCCACCCGCTCCGCTTCGTGCAAGTAGCCGACTTGCTTGCAAAATGCGAGAAAACCACTCGTGTAGTCTTGAACCGACTCGAGCTGCCGCCAAGTACGCAGTCTCTGACGCGTCGAAATAGAAGCCGCGATTGGCTCAAAGCACGCCCAAAGCCGTGCGCACCACGCATCTCACGTGCTGTACTGGGCGGTTTCGCAGAATGAACTCCAGGTGACAGCTGGACCCGTGGGTCCTTCCTCTTGCGATGGTGGCTCGTAGGCACGTGGCGACGTCACGATGACTCGCCACCAGTCCACGGCGCGGCCCCTCAGCAGCGAGACGGCATATCGGATCTTCGCTGCGTCCGACTCGACGTAATTCGCGTCGAAGAAGACGTTCATCGTGAAGACCCACGATTGAACCGTCGGACCTCCACGCTGGCTCGGGTCGAAGCAGGGCGGGCGTTGCGGCTTGAGTGGCATTGGTGCCATAATGGCCTGTTCGCCACTTGTCGCCGCGAACTCCACGTGCCGACGGGCTTCGCGAGGCTCCCGCGGGCTTGGTGCGACCCTGTTCCCTCCCATGCCAGGCATCGGCTGGGCGGCGCCATCGCTGGCTGCGCCTGAGCGCTGTCCCACGCTGTTGTTTTGTGTTGGTGTGCCGGACGAGATGACGATCGGCTCGTCTGATTGTGCAGATGCATTTGTCGGTGCGTGTGGTGGCGCTGGAGTGTTCATCGTTGATTGCTGACGCGCGGAGTCACGTTCCGCCGTGAGCGTCGCAATTTCGAGCGCCGAATCTTCAAGTTGGCGCACCAGACGGTCGAGCTGCTCCTGCGTCAATGTGGCGAGCGTGAATTCGGCCATGGCGGGGGTGTCGGGCGAGCTCAGCGAGAGCCTCGGTCGTGGCCGTGCGTGCTTACGAGAGAGCATTACGAGCGGCGGTGCTGTGTCGCTGAGAGACGTCTACCCCCCCCAAAAATTGAGATAGTGGGGAAGCGAAGGTGTGGGTGCGGTCCGAGAGGAGATCGTAGGCTCTGAATACCAAGTGTTACTAGTGCAATTGAGTGAACGAACGAGAATTGCACTATCGAAGCAAGAGTACAATGAGCGAAGGCATGAGCGAAGAATATATAGCGAAATTACAGTGGTAACGGTAATGGACTGTGGTTGTCGCGCGACGGGCCTGGGACTGAGGTTGGGAAAAGTGTCGAAGCGGAGGCCCGGAGCGCGGGTTACCCGCCGAGCCGTGAGGTCGGGGTGTGATGTGCGAAGGTGGCGGGCGGATTGTGGATGCGAGGGTTGCGAGTGGTAACGGTGCTGACTGTGGTGCTACAGTGATGTACGCGTTGAGCAGGGATGCGAAGTAAGGAAAATGAATTTTCCTTACAACGCCCAAAAATATCTCTATGCCATACCCAGACCCACCCTCAGTTTCACCAGCAAGATGTGTATGTGCTACACCTATGTTGTTTGCCCACATAACAGCTTGGGCAGGGAGGGCAGCAATGCCAGCACAGCATCAGCCGAGCGAATCATTGCGGGTAAACTTGTGTGCCAAGCGAGTGCGCCGCGCAGAGGCGCAAATTTACAGGCGAGCATGGGGGAACCACGCAAGAACACGCTCAAGCTGACATGGAACCGCGGTGAATGGGGGAAGAGTTATCAGGCAAGAGTAACCGGTTTTACAGCACTCGAGATTTCGTCATTTCGTGACAAGGCCTCCTCATTCTCGTGACAAGGGATTTTGTTTTCGTCTTCATTCGCATAACAACTATCCCCCATCACTCCCCATTACATCATCGAACCCTCACAGCAAGAGAGTCAAATTTCAGCCCCCAGTGACCTGCACACTTCAACACACGCACGCAACACAACACTGCCGAGCAACTACAGTATCACTGCCAAGCCAAACTTTTCCTTGCATTCACTCTACCTAGAGCTTTGCAGCATCAAATGCGGGTGAAACTAGACCACCATAATACAACCATTGTGAACAAGCAGTTTGAATGGCATCAAGCGGGATAACAACCGGGGCACCGGCTGTCGCAGGGAATTCTAACACCTCATTAGAAGTTAGTGTCAACTCTTCAGCGAATACAGGAGAAATTTCAGTTACCATGGATAGACCCCCTGCCGCCTCGCTCGCGCAAGCAACCGCCGTTACAATAGCCATTCTTCCCCCTAACGTCACGTCCTGTACCGTCACAAACCCGCTTGCTGCCGCGATTCCGGCGGCGCGCAGCGTAACCCAATCCACGTCACCGGAGAACAAGCACAAGCGCGCATTGGAGAGCGGGCCATTAGAGAGCACGCACAAGCGCACCAGTTCCGTCCGCTTCGCCGACGACCATGACGTGGAGCCGGGCGGAAGCGGAGATGCCGACGGGGGCGGGGAAAGCGGAGGCGGAGGCGGAGGCGGCGGCGGAGGAAGAGGCAGCAGAAGAGGCGGTGGTTCCAGGGAGGTTAGCGAACAAACTTCGGCGGATGACGTATCGTCCGATGGAATATCGCTCGAGTCGATGAGCCGCGCGGGGAGCCAGCGGGAGCGCGAGGAGTGGCAGCTAGACTACAGCCAGTTCGAGGCGGCGCGGCGCGACCTCGACGACGGCCATGGCCGGCTGCCGCGAATACTCAAGCGGCGTGAGTTGCGCTGCTGCGAGCTAACGCTTGCCCTCGGAGGTTCGGCGGTTGAACCCCCCCTGTTTTTGTGTGTGTGTGTGTGTGTGTGTGCGTGCGTGCGTGCGTGCGTGCGTGTGTGTGTTTCTTTCTTTCTTTCTTTCTTCCATCCACCGGTTCGAGGCGATGCACACCTTTTTTCTTTACTTTTGAGGCGCCTCAAAGCTAACGCTTGCCCTCGGAGGTTCAACGTTTGACCCTCCCCCCTTCCCCCCCCCCCCCCCCCCCCCCCCCCCCCCCCCCCCCCCCCCCCCCCCCCCCCCCCCCTCCTTATTTTTTTTTGTTGTTGTTGCTTTTTCATACACCGGTTTAATTCAAAGCGATGCACACCTTTTTTTTTTGCGCCTTAAGCGGAGCATTTATTCTAAAGGCGCCGCGGTCTGCTTCTCATGTCCGATAGAAGAGCATAAGAGTCACATCCATCCTCCTGAGTTTGCGATCATCATGGGGCTCATACTCGCATCTTCTTCCTCCCAACGCTTGCGCCACATCCTGTTCCTCTTCCCCGCGCTCGCGCGCTGCAGTGGCGGGGCGGAACCCCGTGGACGGATACTACCAGCAGCAGAACGAGATGATTGACGGATTCAGTGAGATGGACGCGCTCAGTGAGCAGCTGCTGCCGCCCACTCCCAGTGTATGTTCCACCTGCTCAGGGAGCCCTGCACCGCTGCGCACCGCTTTGCACTGGCTTCATTGTACCGTTTGATGCACTCAGCGTCGTTCAGTGACGGATTCAGTGAGTGAGATAGACACGCTCAGTGAGCAGGTGGTGCTTCCGCCTAGTTCCTGCGTAGGCTACATCACCTGCAATGACCAGCGCCTTGCACCGCTTCGCACCGGCTTGTTTACTCGTGTAGCGTGAGAAAGGATATAGAAAGGATATAGAAAGGATGTAGAAAGGATTCTCTGGATATATTATGGTGGGGCGGTTAGAATTTCCGGTTCTCTCCGTGTTTGTGCGTGTGCGCGCGCGCGCGCTCGAATCGAATCGTCGTGCTTGTTTCTCCTCTCCTCTCTGTTGGCGTTGGCAGGAGGTGAGGGAGGCGCGGCGGCAGCACCGGAACGAGTTCATGGCGGTGCAGATATCCAACGGCGCCAACGTGTGCCTCTTCATAGTGAAGATCATCGCGTCCATCGTCAGCGGCAGTCTCGCCATCCTGGCTTCCACGCTCGACTCGCTGTTGGACCTGCTGTGTGGGTTCATCCTCTGGTACACGGCGCGCACCATGCGCCGCACCAACCCCTACAAGTACCCCATCGGGAAGCACCGGATGCAACCCCTGGTACGCTTTCCATCTGGACCGCACTGGACCGCACTGGATCGTACTGGACCGCATTGTACCGCACTGCACCGCTTTGCACAGAGTTCCAATGCTGGCCGGTGAGAGTTCCAATGCAGCCACTGCTGGTGAGAGTTTCAATGCAGCGCACTGCTGAGCTAATTTACTGTGAGTCGATTAAAGATGAGCCATGCATCAGAAGCTGATAATTGTCTAATCAAAAGCTGAGTATGAGTCGAGTCGAGTCGAGTCGAGTCAAACACCAGTGACAATGACTCTCTCTGCCTCTTCCTGTATCAATGCTGCCATGCACCTGCCTACCCCTCCATGCCTTCCCCCCCCCCCCCCCCCCCCCCCCCCATGCCTCACAACCTACAGCGCAGCATAGACGTGTGTGCGTGCGTGCGTGCGTGCATCATGGCCATCTCTCCTCCTCTCCGCTCCTCCATTCTCCTCACCTCCCGCAAACTATCCCCCCTGTTTTAATGCTGCCATGCGATCATCCCTCCCTCCTCTCTCTCAACCTTCCCCCTCCCCCCCGCCAACCCCAACACCCACCAACACACCCCCCCCCAACCCAACCCCCTCTCCCCCTCCCCCACCCCCCCACAGGGCATCATAGTGTTTGCATGCATCATGGCGTCTCTCGGATTCCAGTTCTTTCTAGAAGGAGTCCGCAAGCTCATCCTTTCCACTCCTCCATTTCAGAGCCTTTCCTCCACTCCTTGTACCCAATGCTGCCATGCGCCCATCCCTCCCCCCTCTCCCCGTACCAACAGGGCATCATAGTGTTTGCGTGCATCATGGCATCTCTTGGATTCCAGATCCTTCTAGAAGGAGTCCGCAAGCTCACAGACTCGGTGAGTTGCATCTCAGACTCAGTGTGTCGCAGGTTCGGTGAGTCGCAGGCTTGGTGAGTCGCAGGCTTGGTGAGTCGCAGGCTTGGTGGAGTTGCAGGCTTGGTGGGTGCAGCAGGGTCGGTGAGTTGTGACTTGGTGGTTTATTACTGGCTAGGTGATTCACATGATTGGCATGCTTAGTGAGTGGTGGGTGTATGTGTATGTGTGGTTTGCATCGACCATGCATGTTTCCATGGGGAGCTATAACCCATGTTTCCAATACTATGACCAACCACCACCCCATTCCCCATCAGAACCACTCGACGGACCTAGGGGAGAAGTGGCAAGTGTATGTGGGCATCATGGGGTTGGTCATTCTCACCAAGTTCATCCTCTTCCTCTACTGCCGCCTCTTCTCCGATGATATCGTTCAGGCCTATGCCCTCGTAAGTTGCATGTTCCACTTTCATTGTTGTATGTTTTAGGCGCCTCAGTAAACGCAACAAATGGCTCGAAAATGAAAAAAAAAAAAAAAAAAAAAAAATCACGAAGAAGAAATGCTCGATTTTGCTCTCACGACTTTTATGTACTGCCTCACGTGTTCTTATCTTTCCAATGACACACTTCTTTCTCTCCTGAGATTTTTTGGAATCTGCTCTTTTTAGCTCCATGCCACGTGCTGTTTCTGAAGACTGCCCGTTGTCGTATCGAGTTTTGGTTTGAGTTGCTTGTGTCCAGGTCCTTGCGCTGCAGCAGGGCTGGCATGGCATGAGTCACTTTTTCATGTGCCTCAATTGTCGTTCAGTGCTCCACATACCCCATACTCTTCACACACCACTCTCCATCCCCCCCATCCCATGCACCCACCAGGATCACATGATGGATGTGGTAACCAACACCGTGGGCCTCGCTGCAGCAGCAGCAGCAGCAGCAGCAGCAGCAGCAGCAGCAGCAGCAGCAGCAGCAGCAGCAGCAGCAGCAGCAGCAGCAGCAGCAGCAGCAGCAGCAGCAGGGGGCTTCTTAACACCTTTACCCCCCATCCCACACCCCACCCACCCACCAGGATCACATGATGGATGTGGTAACCAACACCGTGGGCCTCGCTGCAGCAGTGCTGGCAGGGGAGTACGCGTGGTGGATCGACCCCGTCGGTGCCATCTTTGTGAGTCTCGCTCTCTTACTCGTATCGTATCGTATCTCCACTAATCATTGCTTTTGCGGCGCCTCAAATGTCGCCTCGCTGCAGCAGTGCTGGCAGGGGAGTACGCGTGGTGGATCGACCCCGTCGGTGCCATCTTCGTATGTCCCTCCCTCCCTCCCACTCTCCTCTACTCCCCCGTACCTCTACCAACTGCTCCTCGTCTTTCCTCATCTTGTTGACCCTTCATTTCTTGGCTCCAATACTTTCTGCTCGGCTCTCTACTCATGTCTTCCACAGCTCATGTCTGCTCGGGCCTCGAGATTTGCTGGGTGAACCCCCTGCCTGCCTTTCCGTGTGTGCCTGCCTGCCTTATCACACACCCCCTGCCTGCCTTTCCCCCCCTCCCCCTGCTCCAATGCAGCTCGCCTGTTACACACATTTCAACTGGCGCAAGTGCTGGAGAACGTGCGCTCCTTGACTGTTAAAAGTAAACTCAAAGCCAGTTCATTACGCCTCCCCCTTCCCACCCCTCTCCCCCCCTCCTCTCCTTTCCTTTCCCACAATGCAGCTCGCCCTGTACACCATGTTCAACTGGGGCAACACCGTGCTCTCCTTGACTCTTCAGCTGGCCCCCCACAATACAGCTCTCCTTGACTCTCGAGTCGACTTAAATGTCACCCACCCCTCATCTACCCCTCATTCCTCCCCATCTCCGCCCATCGCTTCCCCTTCCCTCCTCCCCCCAATGCAGCTCGCCCTGTACACCATGTTCAACTGGGGCAACACCGTGCGCGAGAATGTGCGCTCTTTGACTGTTGAGTCGACTCAAATGTCACTCACCCCGCATCTCCCCCTTCCACCACCCGCTCCCCCCGCCCTTCTCCCTGCCACCCACCAGCTCGCCCTGTACACCATGTTCAATTGGGGCAACACAGTGCGCGAGAACGTGCGCTCTTTAACCGGACGGGCAGCGCCGCCCGCGTTCCTGCAGAAGCTGACGTACCTGTGCTGGAACCACCACCGGGCGATCCTGGCCATTGATACAGTGCGGGCGTATACGTTTGGCGCGTCCTATTTCACTGAAGTGGATGTTGTGTTGCCAGAAGATATGCCGCTCAAGGTACACCACTGATTTTATTTTGCAATGCTGCTTAAGGAGGTACTGCTATTAATGTTTTCATGCCTCTCGTTGTTCCCAAATCTCCTTCCGCAGTTTATACCCCGAATGTTGATAGTGTGTGTCTGGGCACATCTCCCTCTATTTTTCTCCCCGATGCCACATACTGGATTGACTCCCATTTTCCGGTTTCCCCAGGAGGCACATGATATTGGCGAGGCGCTTCAGAATAAGCTGGAGCGGTTGCCGGAGATTGAGAGAGCATTTGTTCACTTGGATTACGAGGTGTCGCATCGGCCTGAGCATCACCACCACCTCTCCACGTTCAATGTCAGCAACAGACCGTCTCACACTAGCTTCTCAAGCGACCCAAGATCTCCATGACACAGCTCACTTGCTGCAAACTCGATCTCTATAGATTTAGTAAATGTTTTCCACAAGGCAGCAAATAGCCTTGTTGCTTTTTTTTTACATATGGTTTGTTTGGTTAATGCGTTTTTCTTGTAAATGTGTTTCTGATTGAAATAAATCATATGTCAAACATAACCGGAAGTGGAGCCGTGGGCAGCAATTGTTGACAGCTCATAGTAAGGGCCATATATTAGGATTTACGCATGGGTGTTACGGGTGCAATGAATCGAGGTAGCGAGGATTGCACTAAGTGTCAATGAGTACAAAATGTGAGCGAAGGCATGAGCGAACATTTATACGCGAAACATGCAAAACGGTAACGCGGTGCGTGCGAGCCAGCTAGTGCTGCGCTGGCAGTGAGGTTCGGGCTGGTCCCGAAGCGGTAGGCCGACACGGCCGGGCCAGCTGTGCGAGGTTTGGTGAAACAGTGCGCGCGAAAGTCGGCGAAGCCCCGTTAGTTGTAACGAGCGAACAACGGCTGCTGCTGTACGCGACGTTGCCGGATGCGCTAAGGAATATTGATAAAATTCCTTACACTACCCCCTCCCCCCCCTCAAGAAGCCCCCTCTGCCACGCGAGTTCGTGTATATCGCGGAAACCCCGGCTCCTCAGGTACACTTGCAGGGCAGGGTGGTTTTCAATGTTGGCCAAGGGCACCCAGCTATCCTTAGTTGGCGTGCGATCCTTCCAGCGAACGAGGAACTCGATCCTACTGATTCTTTTGGGGTGTCGAATCCGATAGCTCAGAATCTTGTTGGGCTCGATGATCGGCTCCGATGCAGGGCGAGTCATGGATGGCGGGCGGTGACGAGGCAGCTGGCTCGTGGTTGGGATGTAAGGGCGAAGCAGGCTGACGTGGAATGATGGGCTGATGTACCAGTCGGTCGGTAACAGTAGATGGGCGGTTACTGGCGTAATCATGTGGCTGATTTGGAATGGGCCACAGTAGCGAGGTCGAAGTTTTGGTACGTCGAGCAGTCGTAGGTTTTGCGTGTCAAGTAGTATGTAATCCCCTGACTGGTATGTGACTGGGCGGCGGTGGCGGTCAGCGTTGCGCTTAGCAATGACATTTGCTTTTTTAATTGCTTCTGCGGCTCTGGTTCAGGCAGGCTGGAGAATCTCGGCGAATTGCTGTGCACGTGGCATGGGGTTGTCCGGACTCCGCGTCTTAGGCACTGTTGGTTTTTGCCCGTAGTTCAGGTAAAACGGGGACTGCTGCGTCGTCGCTGACGTGGCGTTGTTGTACGCGAACTCGATCAGCGGTAGCTGCTGCTCCCAAGTTGTCGGGTCGTCGCACGTGGCACGAATCAACTGCTCGATCGTCTAATTTGTCCGCTCCGTTTGACCGTCGGTCTCGGAATGGTACGACGAGCTGAACTGTAGCCTGGTCCCGAACTGCTCCCAGAGGTTCTTCCAGAAATTGCTGGTGAACTTCGTGTCTCTGTCGCTAAAAGTCGCTGCTGGTATCCCGTGCAGGTGTACGACAGGTGTGATGAACAGGCGAGCGGTTTCTTCAGCTGAGATTGATTTTCTGCACGCAGCGAAGTGTGCCATTCTCGTCAGCCTGTCAACGACGACCATAACCGCGTCGTTACCCCCAGGGTTCGAAGGTAAACCTGTGACGAAATCCATGGCAACCTGCTGCCAGGCGCGCTCGGGCGGTGGAATCGGCTGCAACTGACCCGCCTTCCTTTTTCGCGAGCTCTTCATCACCTAGCACGTGGGGCAAGAGCCCACGTGCTGCTGCACGTTGGTCAATAGCTCCGGCAGTAGTAGTACGGGTGCAGTTGCTGTCGCGTTTTTTCTACCCCGAAATGTCCCGAAGAAATCCCGTCGTGTGCCTCCTGCAGTATCAGCTCCCTCAGTAGTGAGTACGCGGGTACCCAGATGCGGTTGGTGCCTGTTTTTACGTAATAGACTCCTTTAGCTTCTGCGAGTTGCTGCGAATTTCCAGTCGTGAAAAATGGGTCGGTATTATATCCATGGGTGAATAGGCCTGTCAACAGCGGGTTGGTTTGGGCGAGTAGGATGGCGTGGAGTTGGGCGGTAGGGCGGGTAAGTGCGTCGGCGATGTTTGATGCGCCTTTTTTGTACGTGACGATGTAGTGGAAGTTGGACTCCAGATAGTCTAACCAGCGGATCTGTCGCGGGTTGAGATTCGGTTGGGCGCGAAGGTACTGTAGCGATCGGTGGTCTCTCCGTACTGTCACGTCTGCTCCCGTGAGGTAACATTGCCACACTTTGAACGCGTGCACGATCGCCAGCATCTCGCGGTCGTGTATTGGGTAGTTGCGCTCGGGCGGGTGAAGCTTGCGGGACTCATACGCGATTGGCTGGAGGCCGTTCCCGAAGTCCTGCAACAGTACTGCTCCCACAGCAATGTCGCTAGCGTTGGTGATGAGCTCGAACGGATGGTGCGGATCTGCGATGTGAAGCACGGGCGGCGAGCATAAAATTTGTTTGAGGGCCGAGAAGGCAGCTTGCTCTTTCTCCCCCCACGTGTACTCAACCCCCTTCATCAGCAGGTCGGTCAACGGAGCAGTAAACTTCGCCATGTCGGGGACGAACCGTCGCACATAGTTGACGAACCCCAAAAAACTCTGCAACACGGTCAAATTTGTCGGCGCGTGCCATGCTTAAATCGTCGCGATTTTCTTCGGGTCTATTTCCACTCCGTTAGCTGAAATGATGTGTCCTATAAACTCCAGTCTGTTCTGTAAAAACTCACACTTAGAGGCTTTGGTCAAAAGGCGGGTTTCACTCAATATTTGAAAAAGTGCTTCGATGTCCTGTATGTGATGTGCTCTGTCTGTGCTGTAAATCAGTATGTCGTCAAGTATACGATGACGCACTTATCTAAAAGTGGACGGAATGCCTCGTTCATCATCATTTGGAAGGTGGCGGGGGCGTTGGTCAGTCCGAAAGGCAGCACTGTGTATTCGAAGCATCCATAGCGTGTTCGAAAGGCTGTCTTGGGGCAGTCGGGTGGGTTGACGCGAATCTGGTGGTAACCCCCTCTAAGGTCGATTTTCGAGAAAACCCGGGCTGTGCGCAGTTGGTTGATCAGTTCGTTGGCTCGCGGGATGGGGTAACGAGATTTAATGGTAGCCCTGTTCAGTGCCCTGTAGTCTATGTACATGCGAAACCCCCCGTCTTTCTTCGGTGTGAACAGTATGGGCGCTGCGAAGGGGGACGAACTCGGGCGAATGAACTCCTTTTCGAGCAAGTAATCTAGCTGCTTCCTCAGTTCGTCCAGTTCGGGTTGGGTCAGTCGGAAGTGTCGCTGTACTGCCGGCTGTGCCCTCGGTTCTAACTCTATCCTGTGGTCGTGCGGTCGCTGAGGTGGCAGTCCCGTCGGCAGGTCATCCGGAAATATCCCACTGTACCACTTCAGGAGTGCTGCCAAATCATCCGGTACGTCGGCTAGCAGTTTTTGCAAATCCCCCCCTTTGTCTGCTGCCTCGGCTTCCCGAATGTCAACCGCGTACACGTCAGCTCCTGCCGCTACGGCGCGTTTCATCGTGATCGCGTTGACACGCACCGACGAAGACTCAGGCGAGCCCCAGTGAGGTAAGGCGACGTTGTTACCGTTCATTCGCACAGTGCAGTCACCCGTCGTCCAGTCTATGCGTGGATTGTGTCGTCGCAGCCAATCACGACCGAGTAAAATGTCGGTTCTGTCGAGGGTTGTCGCGAGCATTTCCTGACTAAACTTGAAGTTACCCCCGCATCAAATCCGAACCCGGTCCACGCGTTCCGGTATCGCCAGTGGCGTGCCGTCAACCAGTCTTGCGTCGATCTCATATAAACATCTGTCCAGTGGCAGTCTCAGTTTTCGTGCATGTATCCCACTTGCCCATACAGCACCAGAAACCCGCTAGTGTAGTCTTGGACGGAACCGAGTTGGCGCCCGCGCCGCGATCGAAGCCGCAATTGGCTCAAATCGAGCGCGCAGACCTGCGCACCACGCGTCCCACGTGCGATATTGGGGCACCTCCACGAAATACGACGGCGCCCAGGGTCCGGTTTGTCCTTCCCGTGTCGGAAGAGACGCGTAGTCATTCGGCTTCGTGACGATGACACGCCACCAGTCCATGGCGGGTCCTCGCAAAAGCGACACGGCGTAGCGAATTTTCGCCGTATCCTCCGAGACGTAGTTGGCGTCGAAAAACGCGTTTATCGTGAACAACGACGCCTGAACGGTAGAACCATCCCGTTGACTCGGGTCAAACATGGCAGGCGCTGTGGCTTCAGCGGGATCGGTGACGGCAGTGCCAAATCGTTGATCGGTGCCAAAATTGTGACGCGCGGTTGGCTTCGGGCCGCATTCGTCGCCTCGGGGTGTGTCGCGCCGTGGTCGTCGTCTCCGTCGTGGCGGACGATGCCATCACTGGCCGCGCTCGCGGGTTGCCCCACGCTTCTGTGATGTGATGTCTGCAGTGCGGGCTGTACCGGAGTGCCAGGTGCTTGAGATTGTGCTTGCTGTGCTCGTGCGATGTCATTCTGCAGGGAGGTGCATTCCTCCGTCAGCGCTGCAATTTCTTCTGAACTCTCGTGTAGCAGGCGCAACAATTCGTTCAGGCGGTCCTGCG